AATATTTGTTCTTTATATTACTGGGTTTTCCTGTTACAAACTACCAGTGTGCAATCCTACCCCTCTCTTTTATGTGATTGAATTCCAACTCATCAACTTATCAGTTCATACACTAAGGAATAAGTTACAACCTACTGTGTGAGGGCCAGTTATACTGCCCAGTTGCCTAAACCTCAGTAGTTGATGTAGGCTGTGAAGTAGTGATCCATTATTTGTAAGTTGAATGCCTAGACCAATGATCCTCTTTGTGTGAAATACATTGTTGAATAATGAAACATATTGTATTTCATATTATACATATCAAAGTTATTATATAAATGGAGTGAGACAATTTTATTATGGTGTCTTGTCAACTCACTCCCTTCTATGGTCCTCGCTAACTCTTTTTCAAACATACGTTATGGCAAACTGTACACATTTAGGGTTTATTGTGATGACATTTTTTCTCCATGTATCTTTTGACAATCATAAAGTTTTACATTTGGATGTTTTGTAAACCCGAACATAGAGATAAGTATCATGTTTCTTACTGTCATTGATTTCTATCGACAAAACAATATGGATATGATTTAACAAAAGGGGAGAATTTACACGAAAGTTCTGCTTTTTTTTGGATGTAAATGCAACGTTTTCTATTACTGGGAACAGCTAGGTATATGTGTGATACAATAAAAAGTTAGAAGATCATTATCATTTAGCGACAGAAAATGTCTAAAACGCCTTATTTCAAAGTACTGTGTGTAGACAGTCCCTGTCTACAGATGGGAAAGGAAAGTCTTTTGATAGTTTTGTGTTCTCTGAGCTGGATAGTTTAATCGTAGGCTTTCGTTGTCATTCCAGACAGCATCATCGGCCCAGACATCAGAAAGAAGTAAGCCATGGGGTTTTCTCCACAAGTGGCCTAGTAGTTTGTCCTGATGGCCTTGTGTGTGATTAGTTATTTCTGCCAAAGTTATGTCATTGTCTCTATGCCCATTTCGATAGATTATCCTGCTGACGTTGTTGCTTCTTATTTGTTAGTAGGTTGGGTCAATGTTAATATGTCTGTTGATTGCTGACTGACCTGAATGCCAAGCTTCCGAAAATTCTCTAGCATTCTTTATATTTCCTCTAACCAGAATTTCCACATTTTCCTCAGTTTTGAATGGGTATTATCTCAGTCAGTTGATATACATTTCCGTCCATAAGTAAGTCATCAGCCTTTCTCATTTAGTCGTCTTTATCCATGACTACTGTTGTTTCACCCTTTTCCAGCTGTGACTATAATGATTTTCTTTTTATCCATCAGTTTCGAAGAGCTCTCTGTTCTTCAGTGGTTAGTTGAGTATTGTTTTACCTTTTCTTGGTCAGAGGTATGATTATTTGTTGTACTCCTTGTTGGGTCTCATTGTTTAGTCCTGAAGTGTCTCCTGCTATTTAGTCCTTTGTGAGAGAGAAATCCCTCGGATTTGGTCAGAGGTTGTTCGGAAAAGTTGACTACACAGTCACTTATCTCTTATCCTTCTGATGCTCGTGGTTTTGAAATCTTGACAAACTTATTTGGAAAGGTATTTTTTCTCTGTTCTTTGTGTCATCTTGTTGATTTTTCCATTGCAGTTGATAATGTTGTAAAGTGTTCTATTGTGAGTATCTCCTGATGCTTTCTCTTTTGGCTGTCTATTGTCTGATGAAAGTCTCAATATACGCTGCTCTTGAACCACTACTCGTACATGCTTATGTAATGGAATCAGATGATAAGAAAAACTTCGGTCAAATACAATTTGAAAGGGTATATATTGCCATTACATTAACTCTGCATCATCTCTATGTCCAAAGAGGATATGAATATGGTTTAAAATAGTCAATTTCCTTAGCATTTTTTCAGTGATACTGCTAGCCGTTTGAAAACTGACTACTTGGTTTCATTTTATATTTTCATTATTCACTATGCAATTTTCACAACAATGCTTTCTTACTGAAAGTAGACACCGAATTTCTTGTCTTTAATTTGTACACACTAATTTTAGAAGTTGCTTAGGGTTTATTGAATTATTCTTAACTACGTCTCAGAATGAGTACAAAATGCTCGTTTTATGTTTGCAAGCTTATACGATCTGTCGAATCATTGAGATATGCAGCTACCAATCATCGGAAAAGTGTACTGCCTAGCAGTTCACACTATGACTGTGTAATATAACCTCAACATACCATGTCAGTTGCAGTAGGACTTAGCTTGAAGAAAGCTATTGACAACCAGATCTAGATGTGATAGTAATCCATCAAGTTTCTGGTTGTTAGTTTGAGTCGAGAGGGAGGTGAGGTCTATCAACTGGATGGTTAAAGACTTTCACTGTCATTGCTTAATTTCGTTTATCGTGGCTCAGATGGTTTTAGTCTTTATTGTCGAAGTCTTGAACATTCTAATTTTTGTTAAATTTCTCCTCATTCCTGATACCTTGCTTCTTCACAACATCTTTCTTTGATTTTTCAAGTTGCAATGAATCTAAATAATGCAATTCTGTGTAAAGTTTCTACGTTGATCTATTTGTCTCATCACTTTTTAGATCATTTTTATCCGACTGTTCTATGTTTTATGGAGTCGATTTATCTAATTCTTCAAATAGGATTAAAGGTCACAAATTTCAAATAATAATTATATGTCAAGTGAGATTTAAAGGGAACCTGAATGGTCGTCAAGTTTGCACTGTGTTATGCATTGACAACAGATATCATGAAAGTTAAATTATTATATAGTGTCTTTTTTCACTAGTCCAGTGACTAGATATGTGAAATGAAAGTTAGACCCAGTTTGTGATTGTTTTCAACTTCATACATACATTGATTGTTGTTAGATGGAATTGTGCCGTGAATGCAGAAAAATGTGATAGATTTTGAAAAAATCAGTATTCTAATCTTCTTACTCCTCATCATAAGTCGTGTATCAGTACTGCTTTAAGTACACTCGATTTTTCATAGTTTGATATTTACTGTTAGAAGGTTAAAACACATTTGAAAATCAAACTGTCTATAAATATAGCGGTAAATGTCTATAGATCTGCTATTTATGTGCATGGTTAAGCATTCCTTATAATTTTTTAGAAAATTTTCATATAGCGATTTACATGCTTAGCTCATGACAACGCCTTGCTGATGAGTCCCAAAAAGTACGAAACCTAGGTTCAGGGCTTCTTAGGCTTCTGATCATCTCCATCTAACTAACATCACAGTATTTCGTTAGAATATGTGTAGCAACGAATACTAGCAATAAAAATAATTCATATACACTGTTAAACTATTTTTGAATGTTATACCTTCCTTAGTGTAACTCTGAGAGATTCTAGAAAGAAGTGTATCCTCGTGATATCTTTTGCAATTAAATATTTCTCTAAAATGTATTCACACAAGACGGTGTAGTTAAAGTTGGAGGGAAAAAGAATGAATCTGATCAAAAGATATGGACTAACCACCTACTCTCCTAGTTACCAGGCAGCTAGATCACCTGTCATCATCAAACTGTAGTCTTATCAATATTATTCCAAGTGGAAAATACCATTCTAGCTTTCTCTTAAGGTTTCCTGACTTTTGTTTCACTGGTTTGTACCATTATGTAGAATAACTATGGTACCTTTTTTTCATATCGTAAGTAGTAGCTGTTAGTTTTTTACTTCGAATCTCGTCATTCTTTTCAGGTTAATGTTTATTACTTCATATTTTGAGTTATTATAAAGTGATGTGATGTAATTCACTTTTTAATTCTACCGGATAGTTGATTAGTAGTGTTGTCTTTTGAAGGATTGTTTAATAATTCTGCTGATTTCTTCATTCAAATTATTGTTTATATTTTCAATGGGTGATAAAAATTCGTGAACATTAAATTAAGCCAAGCTATGTATACCCTAATAATATCTATCTAAATTGTGAAAAAAAGTTATAAAATGTTGTCATAAGATGTAAATAAAAAATACTTCAAATACTTGGACGAAATTGTATCAATCGATAAAGAAAGATGTAGAATTACGGGAGACCTTAAACGATATTATGTACATCCTGTATATAAAAGTTGATCTTTTACGCTTAAGTGTAAATATCCATCACAGAAGCATTAATATGCACTTGTTACTTTTTTTTCCGGGAAAAGTATCTTCTTAAGTCCTTAGATTTTTTTTTCGCAAGTGGTTGTTTAAAAGTTTATTATTTACTACTGACAAAGTATATTCACTCAACATCAAACACATTAAGCCGAAGAGAATCGCTACTTGTAAAGCATTTTCTATGTTGTACCATTTTTTGTCATCAATGTTTCGTAACAAAAGGATTATTTTTTTTAACTGTCTATATTTTACGCTGAAATATTCAGGTTTATTTTTGTAGAGTGATTGAAGTTTTTCCTTAACGTTTTTTTGGCCAAAACCATTTTGTCTCATGATATATAAAATCACCTTTTGTCGGTTCATTTTCGGTTTGTTATAGTTGACCATGACAAAGAATGTAGAGTTTTTTCTATGGCTACTCCTGTTATCGTAGTGGTTACAGGTTGAAACCATTTGCTTCTATATCGTTTTGACCTGTAGGGGTATATTCTTTTTCATTCATCCCAAATAGTTATAAGGTTAGACATTTGTACACCGTAGTCTGGACAACGTATTAGTATCGTCAGATCTCGCAGTTAGTGTGGTTCGTACCATAGTACTGAATTTCATACATAGTAGATATGTAGCATTTTTATCGTCAGTACTCGTATGCCTTTCTTCTTTATCATTTCCCTTTCCGCATATATGTTCTTGACTGAATAACACATTCATTCTTCAACCAGCTGCTGCTTTTGTGTCAGTCTGTTTTCACTTAATATCTCAATTGATGTCTTTAAGGAAAAAGAACTTGAACTATCTCAATTACTGTGCACCGTCAAGTTAATACGCATTACTGTTTAGTTTTGTCTTCATTTACAGATTTACTTTACTGTACTCTTTTTCTTACCAACTTCTACTTCACTTATATAAAACTTGTTTCCTATTATATAGTGCGTGAACGACGTCAGCGACGTAGAGAACGAGCACGTTTAAGTGGCACACAGTTTTCCGGTGATCCTGATGATTTAGAGAGTCAAGAAGCATTGAGTATTGATTATTCATTTGATGGTGTTCCAGACACAATAACTGACAATTCTGCTGCGCATACTGGCATTGGACAAGTGAGTTCTGTTTTATTTTGCTTTTATACGAATCGCTCTGTTATGAGGCATGAAATTATAGTGTTGGAATTATTACCGCTATGCAAAATGTATAGAGATTCTGGATTTATATCTTGTGAGCGAGAATCTTTAGTACAGGAAGGGTAGCTAAGTAATGAACGCAATTGACTACTGGCCATTGCGTTACAGTTTTTCAAACACTCTACTTCAATGTGAACGAAAAGCAGTATTAAAAAGGCTTAGATATAGCCCACACTATAATACTCCAGCCTGTGTTAAGTTGGTGAGCTTCATTAGTGTTATATTTTCATATCGCAAAATTTGTTTCGAGAGTGATTGTGTATAAATTTTTGGCTTCTTATTTATGTCGAATAGTTCAGGTCACTATGTTGTTTATCTCTCTTTCGTGAAATGTATATCTGCACTATTTATTCATATTCTTTCCATGTATGTTTTAATACGGACAAGCTGGCTATCATGCGAATTGCTGATTTAAAGCTTCTAAATGCCAGTAGCCATTTAGACAATGCAGACCAAAGTGGATGAGTGGATTGATTATTTCACTTAAGTAGAAATTCTTAACAGTCATATTATTTTGGTGGTCTATAAAATCGTGCTACAGGTACAAGGAACTCGATTATCTCTTGCCGTACCAGTTCACTTTACTCTTTGCCCAGATATGTGTCTGCTTCCCAAGGCTTGAATGTACTGTTAAGTAGTACCCCATAAGCTATGTTAACTGAAGAAGGAGGAAGATAAGTATTAGCTGGAACCTAAAATCGCTGACTTTTTGTCAAAACCATATATATATATATACTTCTAAGAAATTAGTTTTCCTAAGCTTATGGTTACTAGTTATTATACTTTTACTAGTTGGGAGAACATAAAGAAGATAAGCTCCTTTTTTGATGATCACCTTTTATTGATAAATATGAAAATAAGCCAAACACGTTTATTTTAAAAATTCCTTCCAAATCCACTATTTCATCTGAAGCTGAAAAATATCCTACGTGCGTCTAATTTATACCAGCGAGCTCTTCTATTCTTGCTAGTATACTGAGCTGCAGTTCTCTCTCTCATGGTATATGGCTATGAAATATAGGGTTTGAAGGCGGAATATCCTAATAAACTACAAGTTTCTGATCATAGGTGTCTTCGTAGCATTCTTAGGACTTGATGAAACCAGTGTGTGAACAATACTGATCTCAGGCAATGGGTGCTAGAAAAGGTGGAGGGAAAGAAGGTCGTTCAGTCAATGAGGTTGTGAACATTCAACAACTGAGAAAGCTTGAACATATGTTGGGAATGTTGAGGCACCACCTGCCTTGACGTGCAATGTTAGCCGAAATCGTATCGATTTAGAAGAAGGCTAGGTTTGGTCAGACTGAAACGTGTTACCAGTTCATGAAATCTTTGAATGTTTATCTGAGCCATGTCGGGAGATGTAGACTGGTTGGTTAGGGCTGTCGTGACCACAGAAATGCATGGTTGCGGACTCTTGTTGATGTGACTAAAAATCAGTCAAAATGACTCAGATGTATTCACACTTTGTGAAATTCTTGAGCTTTTTCATTTATTTTGGTTTCCTAATTCCTTTTCTTTTCAGACACCTTTGTCTATCTTGATGTGACTCTTTCTTTACCTAATTTTTCTCTGCATGCTGCTGTAAAGTGTTGGAACTTGTGGGAAGCTCTAGGTTGATCCTGTCTATCTGTCTGTTCATGTTGCCATTCTTTTATTTGTCTTGTTCTGTCTATATCACATGTAAATGATGAACTGGTACCGCAGACGTAAATGCTGACACGTTTTATTCAAATTCTATTTTACTTAAAGTTATGGGTACTGGATAATTAACGGCCACTTATTTAACTGCACAACCCAGATAGCAAGTGTTTGCCACTATTTATAAGTTGTGTCAAATTAATTATCTAGTCCAGTTTTTCAGCTTATTGCATCTACACATTGTATTTTTGAACTTTAGCTCTGTGTGTGTGCTTTTCAACGCTAGTTATCGTCGTTGTTTTGTTTTCGTTGCTCTTCCGATTATCAGTTCCACTATTTCTCTTTTCGCTACGGCTCTCCATTACTGTATTTCTGCTGACAACTATGATGATGTTTATGTATTATTATTATTATTTGTCCCTTGGGTTCCTAGTGGAATATAGGGCTTCAGTAGCACATCTCCATTTCACTCTCTTCTCTGCAGTCTTTTGAACCTGGCTCCACAACTGCCCATAAGCTTTCATTTCCTCCTCACACGATCTCCTCTATGTCACCTTCGAACGTTTAACTCGTCGTTTCTCCTTTGAATTCCACTCGAGCAACTGGCCTGGCGCATGATATCTCCGAATGGTTTTCTCAGTGTATGCTCAATCTATCTCCACTTTCTGATGTTTGTGTACTACTTTATAATGGTTCCATCGGAACATTAAAAAAATTTGTACTGCTTTTAATTACCTTTGCTGATGAGAAATATTTTTTGCTACAAATCTGTGGCATTTTTTCACCCTCATAAATGTGTTTTCTTTGCAAAATATGAATATTAGTTTGCAAACTAATACTCTATAGGTAGCTGATATTATAGTAGGTCTAGTCATTTTTATTGGTATAGAACCAACAGTTTTCATGCCTGATTCAAAAAGCTGCCGGGTATTGTGACCAACTTCCATAAAGCGGTTACAGTTTATCAAGCATTCACCTACTTTATAAGCGATTTGTCAGACTTCTTGACTGCATTGATTAAATATTGTTACTGTTTTGAATATGAGACTTCGTTGGAAGCATACTCTAAAGAAGAGTCGATGTTTATACAAGTTTGGTATTTATAGGCAAAAAACAACCTTTCAAAGACTTAGACGTATCGATCTAGTATTTAATATAATCACAGCTGACCAAAACGACGGCATAAGTCCAGTGATGTGGTTCATTTTATAAGCTATGCTATAAGCGGAGATATGACTTAAATATCTCTGAATTGACGTTCAACTGTAGTAATTCTGAAGGGAATGTTCATTTAAGCTGGAAAGAGAATATCTGAAGTGGAGACTCAAAGGTTTGGTGAAGAATCAGACTACACAAAGCATCTTGAAGAAGTACTACTGATGTTAGAGGAGGTCCTGTAAACAAATAAATCATCTAAATGACAATGATTCATTTACATTTTAGGACGGATTTTAAAGTGTGAAGACCAGATAACCATGAAATGGGACATAAATGCAGTAGATGAGATTAAGTAAACGTTGTTGATGATAAATAAGAAGTTAAATAGACTAATAACACGCCGGAGTTGAATAATCAGGTAATAAAGACCCGTGAAACCGACGAGTTCGTTTGACTTAATTGATCTGAGTAAATTGAATAGGTAAAGAATATTCAGCGAGTGGGTATGGTCATCAGAGATCAGCTAGTGTTGCGGTGAGCTGTGAAAACTTTCACAAACTACCTTATAACTCATGTTGACATCTTATTGTAAAAAAATTAGAGGTATATAATAAACACCAGATTTTTCAGCCATTGGTTCGAAGTGCAGGGATTAACAACTTCATTATCCAGGAATAACGTGTACTACCTTTTAAATGAACCTTGAAATTAGACTACCGCTCTTGTGAAATCAAGTTGTAATAGAAATGAACCTTCAAAAAATGGATTAATGTATTATTAAAACTTAGTTGATGCGTAGATAACAAGGATCATAAATATATTTTATCAAAACTTCAGCTATAGTGAGAAAGTCTGTGATATGATTTTAAACCATTCTTCGTGACGTTGATGTATTAACGCTGAAATTTTTAAATAGAGTGAGAACAACAGCTTTAGCAGAATAGCCTGAATCAATTTTTTTTCCTGAAAATTTGAGTATTTCACTATTCTGTACCTTTTCTTTTTTTTTCTCTGAGTAGTCGCGTTACTTTTCACATTCAGTTTAATTTGTTTTGTTTTTGGCAACTTGAAACAGTATACTGTTATTCCTTATCTTTTACAATACTCCATGTGTTTGTCAGGTTAGAGATTTATGACTAGAATAGTAGACACCATTACAGATCAATCATTTTTGTTCCAGTATCTAGTCACTGTTGATAGAATACTATTGAGCAATACAAGCTTAATACAATACCGATAATATTGAACTATTGGTCAAAATGTACCAGTATAACCACTTATCTGTCTGTAGTTTCACTCGTGTTATAAAGAAAAAAAATACTTCGTATCTTATGGGTGCTATCCAGCTTCTGTGGTCTTCGAACTCTCTTCCATTGAATTACAACTTGAAACTCCCTTGACCCAATTGTTTAAAGAATCAGTTCGTTATCTATCAAACTACAGGTTACAAAGGTATATTCGGTTGAAGAAGCCGTGACATACAACAACGGAACGTTCGGAAAAGCAACTTACTCTGCTGGAAAGCTTAATTTTAATCTATATTCAAGTTGAAATTATTGGAAGAGTGAAAACAGTATCACTATTGACTACCTATATAATTCTAATCGCGTACTATCTAAATTATTCATTTTCCCCTATTGTATTACAATACAGACTACTGGAAAGAATTTTCATCTACATAACTTTCAATTCCTCTGTTACTAATTCATAAATCTTTTCTAGCTTTTAAAGAAAAAAAAATGTTAACCATGAAGTAAAAGATGAATGAAAGATATTACTTAGAAGCTGTTGTCGGCGATAACTTCAACTTGGTTTTCGGTTTTTTAAACGATCTTAGCGAAGTATGCAGTCACCATAATTCTGTCTATCCCTTTTTTAGACAACAGTTCATATTCTTCCTACGCTTTACAACATTTTTCCTGGAGTTATTGATCACCATAGTGTACATTATTTTGTGCAGAAATGTAATTTACAAAGATTGAAAATCAATACTCTTTTATTTTTCTAATATGGTGTTGATTTTATTGATTTTTAAGCCTATAGTTGTTCACTTGTATATCATTATTTGTGGACATTTCTGATTTTTCAGTAGTTAAATAGACTTTATTGATTGTGTTTTC